TAGGGCAGGGCTCGCGACTCACCCGTCAGGTGTTTCAGAAACTTGTCCTTCATCCTGAGGTCTCGAGGAACTATTTCTGTTTGAGGGGAAAGAACTGAATTACTGTGCTGCCTGAAAGAAGCCTTTATTTCATGTGATCTTAGTGCATGCTGAAGAAACCTCCTGGAAAGTCTGCGTGACCGAATTTCAGGTGTGCGTGACACTGTGAACCCTGTCCCCAGGGACATAGGCTTCTGTCAGTAGTGCTACCTACTCGCAGCGCTCCAATGTCATGTCACCTCTCCTACTGGGAGAGAGCCGGTGACCTCAAGTTACAGGTGAAGCGTGTGTGTGTGTGTGTGTGTGTGTGTGTGTGTGTGTGTGTGTGTGTGTTTGTGTGTGGTGGTGGTTTTGACAGTTTCCAGTGAATAAGTCACTTTCATTTTGAACAAATTAGGAATCAAATCCCACAACCTCTCAAATTTCTAGAAAGAAAACCTGATCCTTCAAACAAAAATCTTGTCACAGAACTTTTCCTGGGTTTGCGTTTAGGAAATTGATTCAATAATGTCTTCAAACCACCTGTGGCGAAAGCTGGTGTGAATGTGCGCGCCTCTTACAATCCTGCACCTTATCCTGCTCTGCGAGGTCAAAGCCAAGCTCCCAGGGGGCACAGCTGGGCTGGCGCTGGTCCACCAGCTTCCCTGACCTTTGTGGCCTCAGCCTCCAGTGTTGCCTTTTCCTCCATCAGTCATCCTTTGTCACTACCTGCGCTGGACCAGCAGCTTAGCTTTGTGTGTAAGTCACTGTTTTACCTCAAATGCTCCTCACCCGACCAGGGAGCATATCTCCATCCGAATCTCTTTGTGCGCAAGGTTCAGACACCGCCCCAATGTCAGCCTTCACTGAGTCCTGACTAGCCAGTCTGTGTAGAATTGACCTTATCATGTTTGACCTGATGGTGTCATGGAAGCTGCGAAAGCTTGCATGCTTTCCTGGGAAATCTCCCCTCGGCCGCGCGCGCTCTGGGAAGGCTCTGCCCTGGGCGCGGGGCGTGAACACATTTCCTTTTCTAAAATAGCAGATGACAGTTCTGTGCGGAAATCACCGACCTAGGGAGCAACTCGTGCGTTTTAGAAGCAGACTATGGATGGTCCGCAAGGCATCATTCAAGGACTTGCTATGTTCTTCTTTTGAAAAAAAATTTCTTTCTGGTGTTTTTGGAACCATCGAAATGGATCTGCCTTTTAAAAATATGTTTTCTCCAGGCAATTCCATTTCCAAGCAGGCGCGCTCTCGGGCCGCCCCGCGTCGCGCACTCACCCGCTCGCTGCTCCTCGGGGTACAGCCGGTGGTCGGCGGCCTCCGCGCGGCCGGGAGCGTAGTGCTGCTGCCCCGAGGGCGGCGGCCTCTTGGGCTCGCCCGAGTGGTACTTCTTGAGCTCTTGAATGATCTCCACGATGAGCCGCAGCAGGGTCTGCCTGTCCGCGGCCTCCCGGGGCTCCGCGAGTCCCCGGCCGGGCCCCGCCGCGCCCAGCACGAACAGCAGCCCCAGGAGGAGCGGGCGCCCGGGCCCGCGCATCGCGCGCTCGGTCGGCGGGCTGGGAGGGTCCGTGCGCCCGGAGCTCGCTCGCTGGAGGAACGGGGGCTGGAGACACCAGGGGACAAAGTCGGCGGCTGACGGGGAGGGGGCAGGAAGCGGGGGCGAGGGGAGTCCCCTGCTGCCTGGACCGCGGCCGCCCCGGCGCCCTGACCCCCGCGGACCCGCGTTAATCCCTGCGCCCCCCACGCATCCCCGAGGCCCCTGGTACCCCGTGCCGGGCCTGCAGACGAGGGGCCGGCGGCGGGAGGCTGGGCAGCGGCCTCCGCGAGGAGCCGCCCGAGGTCGCACCCGCGGGAATGCCGAGCGCCGAGCCGCCTCTGCGCTCCCGGGGCCGCGGCCTCGCCCTGCTCCAGCCCCGCGTCCCGCCCCCACCGCTGGCCCCCTAACTTTCAGAAACGGCACATCCGCCTGCACCTCAGAGCGCGGGGCGACCTCACAACTTTCTGGAACCTCCGGAAACCGCGCAGAGCTGCGCGGCGGGCGGGCAGGCGTTTTGGGGTCCGCCCCGCACCCCGTCCCTCCGAGGAGGCAGCACCGCGCGCCCGGCGGGCCGCTGCGCTCAAGTTTCCAGCAGCGCCTTTGTGTGACGGTCGCCCCCTCACCCCGGTGTCCCCGAATCCCATGGGGAGCCCCGCGCCGGGACCCTCGCCCGCCCACTGTGCCAGGTTCTGCAAAGCCCTCGGCCCTCCGCGGCCCGGGAGGGGTCGGGGCCACCTGCGCCCCGCGCCTGGCCGGTTACCTGTCCCCGCGCCCCGGAGCCGCGGGCGTCCTCCGGCGTCTGTCCGCTGCGTCCCGCTACTCCATGCCCAGCGGCGCCCCGGCCTGCGGAGCGCCCAGGACGCGCGGGACCCGAACGCGCCCCGCTTGGCCGCTCGGAGCGCTGCACCGCGGCCGCCTGGGGTGCCCGCCGGAGCCGAGTCCCGCCTCGGACCTCGAGGCGCCTCTTATGCCCGCGCCTGCCGACGTCAGGCGGGTCCCGAGGGCTCCGCGCCGGGCTTTAATTAGAAGCCACTGAAGTGTTCGTACCCCCGTGCGGATCTTCGTCAGACTCCCCCCACGCCCCATCTCCCTCCCAGCTCTCCCCGCCGCGTCCGG